TAAAAATAAATCAATTAAGAGAATATGGAGAAAATATTAATGATTCAAGAATTGTAGAAAAAAAATACTCGTAAGTCTTCTTGATAAGTACTGTATGATACTTTTGTTATTGCCATTGAACATACAAAAGATTTCACTAGTCTGTCAGTGACAGAATTAATGGGCTCTCTTGAAGCATATGAGAAAAGACTAAGTAGGCGAAATGAAAATTTAGTAGAAAGCGCCTTTCAGTCAAAACTAAATTTAAGGTCTCAGAAAACTAAAGAATGGGCAAGGAAATTTGGAGAAAGTTCTAGAAGAGAAGATTATAAATCCAATAAGAATTGGGGAAATAGAAAAGAAATAAAGGAAATAAAAAACTATCCTCCATGCGGGGAGTGTAAAAATACAAACCACCTAGAAAAATATTGTTGGTTCTGTGGCAAGCCCAAATGTTGAAATTGTAAAAAATTTGAGCACATAGAAAAAGACTGTCGGACCAAGAACTATCAAGCCAATTACTCAGAAAAAAGTGAGAAGAATGAGCATGTGTTTTATGCTAATCAAGCCACACCATAAGGAACCAACAAGAAATGGTATATTGATAGCGGTTGTAGTAACCACATGACTGGAGATGAAAGCATCTTCTCCAATATAGACAAGTCCGTAAAATCCCAAGTAAAACTGGGAAATGGAACACTGGTGGAGACAAAAGGAAATGTACAATCTCTATCCAAACTAATAAGGGAACTAAATATATTAAAGATGTTCTACTAGTACCTAGCCTGGAGCATAAAAGTGTTGGACAAATGATTGAAAATGGATACCCTCTGCACTTTTCTAGAGACTCCTGCACAATATTCGATAAAAGAAATAAAAATCACATAATAACAAAAGTAAGGATAGAAAATAGAAATTTTCCTATCCAATGGCAATTTGTAAAAGCCACAGCCATGAAAGCAGAAGTTGATGAGAGACCTTTAATTTGGCCACTTTAATTTTTATGCACTAAAAACTCTTTATCAAAAGAATATGATGAGAGACCTTCCAAACATAAAAGAGATCCATGATGTCTGTGAAGGTTGCCAATTTGGCAAACAACATCGACAAGCATTTCCATCTGGAAAGGCTTGGAGAGCTAAGGCCTTGTTGGAACTTGTTCACACAGATGTTTGTGGACCTATGAGGACTTCATCTCTGGGATTAAAGCAAGTATTTTATCCTGTTCATAGATGACTATACTAGAATGACATAGGTTTATTTTCTACGAGAAAGATCAGAAGTATTTAATATCTTCAAAAAATTCAAAACCCATGTCGAAAAACAAAGTGGCCATTATATTAAAACTCTAAGAAGTGATAGAGGAAAAGAATATACCTCTAAAGAATTCAACAAATTTTGTGTAGATGAAGGAGTAGAGCATCAACTAACAGTTGGCTATGGTCTTGAACAAAATGGAGTCTCAGAAAGAAAAAATAGAACTGTCATGGAGATGGCAAGATCCATGATATTTGAAAAAGGCTTGCCAAACATATTCTGGGCAGAAGCTGTATATACAATAGTATACTTGCTAAATAGATGCCCAACAAAAACATAAGGCAAGGCTAGCTAGTAGCTAAAGGCTACTCACAGCAGCCAGGCATAGACTACAACGAGACCTTCACACCAACTGCAAGACTTGACACTATAAGAGCATTGGTAGCACTAGCAGCTCAAAAGAAATGGAGAATTTATCAGCTAGACGTAAAGTCTGCATTTCTAAATAGAGAGCTCGAAGAAGAAATATATGTGGAGCAACCACAAGGATTTATTGAGTAAGGAGGAGAAGATAAAGCACTCAAGCTAAAGAAAGCCTTGTACAGACTCAAGCAAGCCCCACAAGCATGGAACAACCGCATAGACAAGTACTTCATCAACGCAGGCTTCATGAGGAGCAAAAGCGAGCCTACTCTCTACACCAAAACTCAAGGTAATTTCGATATCTTGATCATCTCTCTGTATGTGGATGATCTCATTTACATTGGAAACAATGAAGAAATAATTCAAGAGTTCAAAAAAGATATGATGAAAACATTTGAGATGAGTGACCTTGGGTCGATGCACTACTTTTTGGGCATTGAAATAAACCAAGAAGAAGACGGAATCTTCATATGCCAAAAAAGTACATTGAGAATCTTTTGAAAAAATTCATGATGTACGGGTGCAAGACTGTGGCTGCTCCACTTATCAGCAATGAGAAATTAAGAAAGGAAGATGGATCAAGTAAAGCTGATGAATCAGTTTACAGAAGTCTCATTGGGAGCTTACTATACTTAACAACAAGACCCGACATCATGTACGCGACAAGCTTACTATCAAGATTTATGCAAAATCCAAGCCAAATACACTATGGAGCAGCAAAGAGAATATTAAGATACTTGCAAGGCACAATTGACTATTGCATGTGGTATAAGCCTACCACAGATCCAAGACTATTTGGCTACACAGACAGTGATTGGGTTGGATCAGTGGATGACATGAAAAGCACATCAGGCTATGCATTTACAATTGGGTATGGTATATTTTCATGTTCATCAAGAAAACAAGATACCGTGACACAATCATCAGTAGAAGCCCAGTATGTAACAGCAATAAGTTCAGCATGCCAAACTATTTGGCTTAGAAGAATATTTGAAGATATGGGAGAGTGCCAAATAGAAGCTACTGAAATACTTTGTGACAACAAGTCTGCTATAGCAATGGCAAAGAATCCAGTGTTCCATAGCAGGACAAAGCATATTGCCATCAAGCATCACTTCTTATGAGAAGTCTCAACAAACAAAGAAGTAGAGCTCAAGTACTGCAAGACAAAGGAGCAAATCACAGACATCTTCACTAAGGCACTTCCAAGACCAACATTCGAAATGCTACGAAACATGCTCGGAATCACACAAAAGTGCATTTAAGGAGGAGTGTTAAACATTAATGCACATTTGGAGGAGATTTTTACAAGCTAGCAGAATTTTCTAGAATAATTTAGAATGCAAAGTCTTTGGTTGTATTCCCTAAACACTAGTCAGTTGAAGCTAGTAGAAAGCTCTAGTAGAAACTACAATATGTGGCTGAAAACAAGGTCTTAAATATTGATAGTTTCGGAAATATCGGTGGTTCAAAAACACAGAAAATATCGGGAAAATATTGATATCGATAAAAATTGAATAAAAACCATGGAAATTGTGATAAATACATGGAAATTTTTAATGAAACTTTAGAAGAAGTTTATTTAGTCAATCATCTATTATTTTGACACAAAAAATTGGAAGGAAATGCATTGCATAGTGGGTTTGAGTGATTTAGGTTGATTATATTGCGAGTTGACAAACTCTGTGACTTAGAAAATCTAGAGTAATTAATGAAAGAGAATTAAACACCCTCTAAGTAATTATGTTAATTTCTATTTTGAGAAACAGCTCGCAAGTATTATAAAAACAGATTCCATAGCTTATTATCACAAAGTGATGACTGGTGTGGTGGTTGAGTGGCTACAGATCTTAGAATGAGGAAGGGGTTCGAACCCCTACATGCGTGAAGTCAGTTTTCTGTAGCCACTCAACCACCACGCCAGTCATCACTTTGTAATAATAAGCTATGGAATTTGTATTTATAATACTTGCGAGCTGTTTCTCAAAATAGAAATTAACATAATTACTTATTATTTTATATTGTTGATCAGTTACTTAATTACTTAATATAATTTATTTCTTGAGGACCATTTGAGTAATTTACCCTTATTTCTTTTATGAAATGAATTTGCAAGTTGATGTATCATCATCTACAAAGGTTATATTTAAATTGAAGATGATTGCGCTGGCTTCAAATTTTACTGGTTTTTGCACCAAGGCCAAGCTGTGGAAAGTAGACACTGGCAGGCCAATTTATGCTACACACAATTTACTTTTGGCTGAATTCTTGATGCCAATTCCTTACCATTGATGAAAACTATAATCTCCGCCATTCTTTCTGTTTTGCAGACCAACCCCAAAAGCTTATAACATTTTGCTTGACACATTTGCAGTATCAGGAATGGTGTATAAGGGAACCACCGCAGTCAATTCAAACCAATGCCTCATCTCCAGCAATCTTGCCGCTGCCAAATAAGGCTCTTCCAGCAGCTCCATGGTCACAAAGTCAAGAAAGATGCAGTAACACAAAGCCTATAAAACTCTAGAAGCTCTCTAGATTCACACTGATATATGGAGCAAAACAAATCCATCAAGAATTTAAAAAACAGTGTAGATCAACATTACATAAGCTTCTCCTGAAATTCCGCCAAAGAAAACTCGCTTTGCACCATCATCATCTCTCTGGTTTCCTCCATCTTCAGTACATGCAATATCAGCATCCATGGACATATCAGGGTGAGGCAGGAGATTGATAGACAAAGACTCCCACTCAAGTGTCTGGTAAGAAAAGAATTTATCATCATTTAATAAGTAATTTAAACTTGGGAAGCCTAGCACCTCTAGTAAGATAATAATGGAACACACACTTGCAAACACAGCGGCACATACACTTGGAGCAAGACCAAGAGATGCACCAAATATAATTAGAATTTACAGCAGTTCAAGAAAGGAAAGTAGGCACCCCTTAGCCCCTCACCCCAACCCCACAAAGGGAAAATAGAGACAGAAGGAAATAGTGATCTGATCTGATGCACAAAGATTAGCACATTACTTTGAACAAATAAATGAACCTTTTGTCACTGGAGAACTCCTGTGCTTCCTTAAGATTTACAACCTGTTACAGGACACTTGCCCTGTAACTTATCAACTCTTGAGGTGCTTTCTGCATCTTCTAATTATTTGAATGGGAGCATATATACCAGATATTTTCAGCCAGCTGACAGAATTAACAGAGATTCGATTCGCGGGCAATTCTCTGTCTGGTATGATTCAACCCTCCATCTTCAATCTGTCTTCTCTCATAAGATTTTCTCTGCAACTAAATGAAATCCAAGGTACTCTTCCCTCAAACTTTAGGTATTTTTTCTCCAAGTCTCCAGTATTTTGATATTGCTTCTAACCAATTTAGTGGAACTATTCCAGTATCAATATCTAATGCCTCAAGTCTAGGTCATCTAGGAATGCAAGGAAACAGCCTACATGGTAAAGTCCCATCTTTGGCAAATTTGCATAAGCTTGAGAGATTTTCTCTAACCTCCAACAATCTAGGAAGTGGGGGACTTAATGACTCGAGCTTTATCTGTGATTTGACTAAAGCCACCAATTTAAAACACCTAGGCATTAATATGAACGATTTTGGGGGTGTCTTACCTGAATGCACAGCAAACTTGTCCTCTTCTCTTGCGCGGTTCCACTATTAATGTCAACTATGGAGCTGTTTGAATTCAAAGTTAAAAATATAATCTAACAAGTTAGGCCAGCAAAATACCAATATTCAAGTTATTGATTGGTAGCGGGGCTTTAGACGCCGGTCAATGATAGACGACCCGGCCGACTGAAGTAGTTAACTTCATGCTTCGCAATCCCATTAGCTGCTTCTTTTCTTCATCACCAAATAAAATATAGCAAGCCAGCTACCTAACCTAAGCTAAGCAGCTCTTTACATAAATATTAAGAGGATACCTTTATTGCGCGGTCCTACAAAGAGATCCATAAACAGTAACATCATTATTAAATATGACAAAAATCCACCAAACAATCCAAATCCAAAGCAAAATCATCAAACAGTCCAATCAAAGGCTGAGATAATCCTACAATACCTCAGCTCAAATGAATCAAAACAAAAAACACAGAAACTGACTTTTAGCAAGCATACCTCAGTTGTCAGCGCCGATTTCAAACCCAGTGTTGAAAGCGGGTTTTCTGTGCGTCGGAATCTGCAAAGGCCGGTACGGAATTCGGATTTGGGAACGCGAAGAGTAGGAGAAGGAGGACGTGGCGCGTTCTGTGTTGGAACATGAAAAACCGACGAAGGGCGAAAAGGAGAGATCCCATGGGGAAGGGCAAAGAGGAAACGGAAGAAAAAGTTTAGTGGAGGGCAGTTTCGACAATTCACTGTGCTGAAAGAAAACAAAAGGAGAAACAACAGTAAAATGAGGGCATTTTGAGCTTTAGCACATATAAATTTATGGGAATTCATAGTTTTGTGTGGCAGCTTCTTGTCAAGTTATGTCTGGTGTAGGTTACTCATTTTCTTTCAGCAAAAGCAAAGTAGTATAGTTTTGTAGTTCTGAATGTGACATATTCATCAAAGCAGAAACTATTACTGTTCGATTCTGTGAAACAAATAGGATGGTTTTCTTTCCCTTATATCATCTAAATTGGCAACAATCTGATTGGTTGTATACAATACAGGGGAAGAAGATAAAAACTTCTAGTCTAAATCTCGTTGACCAAAACACAGGAATTCATACGTGAACAGCAGGTGAAATCAAGTTTTGAAAACCTCCATGGCCTTATACATTGGTCAGCGACTCTCGTATTTCTGCAGCTTTCTTCAACCGGTCAGCTGCTTTTTGAACCTACAAAAGCATGGTGATTAGTGATAAGTTGATCAAATGCAGTCCATGTTGACTATATACGCCAAGATAAGATAATACTTCAATCAAAATTTAAATTACCTCAGCATCCCAATTTGTTCTGGCGGTGAGAATAATTAGAGTTACTGTTTGTAGAAAAACTCCAATAATCATCCCCCACCAAATACCCTGAAAATGGTAAAAGGAATGCATCATGTTCTATCACTCACAAAGAAATAGCTTTACTGGCACAAGAGTGAGGGAGAGATTGAACTTACTGCTACTCCCATGTTGGATTTGAAGCCAAGAACACATCCAATCGGAAGACCGATAACGTAGTAGCAAGTCAGGTTAACATAGGCCACAACAGCTTGCCATCCACTTCCAATTGCCACCCCTGAAATTCCAGAGAGTTAAATTAGAAATGATGCCTCACAATGCCTGCAGACCTTGTTTGTTCATCTACTCCTTTTGTCACATATCAGTACCTGAGAGTATAGGTTGAATGCCATTCAAGAAAACAGAGATGGCCAGCAATGGGGTTAAATCAGATACTGCCGCAATAACTACGGAATCACTCGTAAAAAGCTTGCTTAATCCAACTTTAAAAATCAATACAATTGCACTGAAGACTATGCTAATCAGTATGCTGGTCCCGTTCACAACAAACACTGAAAATTTGGCCACCTTTGCATTACCAGCACCTAGCTCATTACTGACTCGAACACTGCATAACCGATGTCTCGTTATCAATAAAGAAAATTATAATTCGTGATTAAGAAATAAACATTCTTAAGAGCATTTCATTTGTCACAAACCTGGCTCCTGCACTTAGGCCTAACATAAATTGCAAGTCCCAGTTCAAGTAGTTCATGCTGGAATTATATCACATCAGAAAATGTAAAGTTAGACTAACAATGTGAATTAAACAATTGAGCAAATTGACTGATAAAAGGAAAAGCTTAAATGGGATGCTTTAACACTAGACATACCAAATAGAAATGGAGTCTAGAGCAACTGTAGGATTGGAGAGAAGCCCTGATATCAGCACCAGCCCCTGGCTGTACCATATCTCCAAGCTACATAAATGCATGACCAAACCCAAGAGTTATTTGAAAGGTAAAGACAAGTGTTTTTTTGAGTACAAACGATTGGGGGAGGGGGGTTTACACAAGTATTCATTGGGTGTTTGGGGTTTTCGAACTTCTGAACACATGGGTGGAGGTGAAAGAGCTCAACCAACTGAGCTATACCGCACTAGCCAAAGGTAAAAAAAAGTGTTTGCAAATGAGATGTGCAGGTAAAAAAAAGGGGAGAAAAGGGTTAAAATTTGACACTTACCAGAGCATGATAGCAGAGGAAAGAGTTAACTTAAAATAAGGCCAAATTCCTTTGAAGGCATTCCAAGAGAAGCCAGTCCAAGTTTCCTTGCACTTGGGGCTTAGAATAATGTAAAGTCCATATGTAATGACAAGAAGCCACCAAGAGAGGCTGAGAGTAAGAGCAGCCCCCAGTAGGCCATAATCCACAACATAAACCACCAACCAAGTGAGAAGAATGTGGATGAGGAAAACCCCAAAAGACATATAAGCCAAAGGGTTGACAATGTTTTGTGCTTGAAGGAACCTCTGCTGGGGGCAGTTTATTGCAAATGCATAAAGCTGAGGAATTAGGCCCCTTGCAAACACTTGGCCCTGCAATGCTATGTCTTCTGCCTGGCCTATGGCTCTAAGTATTGGACCTGACCACCAATACAGAAATGTAAGGAGGACTGCTGCTCCCAAGTGCAAGATGATTGCTCTTTGGCATATGACGCCCATTTCTGGCAATTTTCTGGCTCCAAATGCTTGCCCACACACAGTTTGCACAGCACTAGCCATTCCCAACTTTTTATTCAAAAGCAAGAAAAAAGTAATAAAGTTAAATCAACCACAAAATAGTAAAAAACAAACATAGAGATGAAGTTTTGGTAAATGAATTATTTGGTACATTAGTTTGGGATACTTACCATAATCCCATAAGCAAGACCTTGAATTCCCACATTAGCAATAGAGGCTCCAGCCAGCTCCAAGGCACTCAAATGGCCACAAAACACGAGGGTGACAAAGCTAAGCATGTAATTAAATATGGAGACAATGATAGATGAACCAGATAAAATCCAGAGCAGCCTTGACTCCCATGCCACCAGTCTAGGCCACCATCGGACCGCCACAGGCCGGTGCTCCAGAAACTCTTCGATGGCAGCAGACGACAAGCCAGGTATATGGGAATGTGAGTCAAGTCCAAGAAGCAGCGGCTGGTACTCCCCTGTCGACCCCATTGTTATCTCAGCCCGCCGTGCCACTACTGCTTGAGGGTTGTGCAGCTGTAGCCTGTGTGTGTGTGTGAGAGTATGCTTGTGTTACTTGGAAGAGGCAGAGTGAATAAATTTATATGATGTTACATTATGTGCAAAATTAAGAAGGGAAAGTAGAAAGCTTAGGGTCTTAACTACCTTTCAAATTGTTTGTTACCCACCGGCTCATTCATGGGTTACAATAGCAAGAGAAATTTAGCTGCAACTACTTATTTTTCGGTCTACAAATTACACCAAACCAAAACCTATGTATAATGTCAAATGTGACACTTGAACTTTGAAGGCTCCGAGAGCAGTGCTCTGTTAAATGGAAACCGAATATGTCACTTGTCAGTTCCCTGTGGCATAGCCTTATAGGTTGGTGGGGCCCATTTCAGTTTCCTGTGCTGGTTTGTATTGGAGAAATTATTGTATTGATTTTGGAGTGGACCCAGATACCTTTGACAAAGAGTTTCTATTCTTGGTGGGTTAGGGCCACGTGTACCTAATATGGTCGGTACAAATTTTGTATATGAATTAAAATTTGGGATTTGTTTCTGATTAGCAGTTAATAATTTTGATTAGGTAAAAAATGTTTACTGAGTTATGTAGATGGGCACGTGCACCTTCACAAGTCACATGACAGCTTTAGGATTCTAGGATTCTTGTAAAAAAAAACCCGACTTGAAGGTAGAGAGAATCTCAGAAGCCAGTACTAAATTGAATGGTTTTTACAAAATATAAAGAATTCAGTACTAATTGCTGTACAATTTGATTGACATTGCTACATATGATAAGATGCCATAGAGATTGTAGTTTCTTTAATTGTAACTTTGGAGTAAGAAGCAAATTATCGTACTTTTGTTTGATCGTCAATAATAATCCATCGCTTTACTTTTTTTATTTATAAAAACGAAGCAAATTGTCAAGATCAGATAGTGGACAAAGAAGAAAATAAAGCCTTCAACAAAGAAAAAAAAAAACCCCAGAAGAAAAAAGCGCCTAGTCAAAATTAGAGCCTTCATCTATGTCTATGTATAGCTTAATTTGGAAGGATCTCTATGTTCTATTTAAGAAGACTGCTCTGCTAAGAATCAATGCAACACATCCAGCTTAATGAGATGGCTAATACAAAATTAGTGAAACATATGCAAGAGAAGCTATTAAGATGTCGTCGAAGTTGCTTTTTAATCAATGAAAGAATTTACTAAATAAAAACAGTTACAAATTAATCAGAGCAATCCACAGAGAAAGTGGGCTACAGAACAATATGTTAGAGTTTAACAAGCCTTAAGACTATCAAACACAGCAATAACTACAGAATTGTTTCATAAGGGAAGCCTCCAATTGCATTGAGGATCTGCTCATCGTGATTCGGATGATAATAGAGGTAGTAAATCTGTTGATGTAGATGTAGAAGCAACATCCCAAGGACCAACATATTCAATCTCTTCATGATTTTGTTCCACATGAGAAGCTTTCACTGCTTTTTGAGTCCCCTCCAACTCCATTGCAACTTCTTTCATCGTAGGCCGTCTCTTTCCATTTAAGTCCAAGCATCTTTTTGCAAGGTTAGCAACTGCCACAATCTGGTCTTTACTTCCCTCCTTCATGACTCGAACATCAACGATATCAAACAGACGATTCTCTTCCATTGACAGAATGAAATATGTAGCTAGACTTCTGCCCTGTTCCGACCTTGTAAAAGAAATTGGCTTTTGACTTGTTAAGAGCTCAACGAGGACTACTCCGAAGCTATAGACGTCACTCTTTTCTGTGAATTGGCTTGACTGGAAGTACTCTGGATCCAAGTACCCAAAAGTGCCTTGTACTATTGTGGTTACATGAGTTTGATCAATGGAAATTGATCTTGAAGTTCCAAAGTCAGCTACTTTTGCTCTATACTTATCATCTAAAAGTATGTTTGTGGACTTGATGTCACGATGATAAATTGGCATGGAAGCTGCAGAGTGCAGGTAGAAAAGAGCTCCAGCTACCTCTATGGAGATCCTTACACGCATATCCCATGTAAGTGGAAACTCTTCATTGTCTTCATGGATATACTCAAATAGGGTTCCATTGGGAACAAATTCATAAACCAGTAGAGGCACCTCTGTCTCCAAACAACACCCCAAGAGCTTCACCACATTCCTGTGGTTGAGTTGCGAAAGAATGACAATCTCATTAATGAAAGGACCAAGTTTCCCTTCATCAACTACCTTGGACTTTTTTACTGCAACAATTCTTCCATCCGTCAACATGCCTTTGTAAACAGTACCTTGGCCTCCTTGGCCAAGTATTCTATTCACATTGAAATGGTCTGTGGCCTTTTCTAGCTCCTTTGGATCAAATACTTTTATTTTCTCAACATTGACTTCACCTGAACTTAATTGTTCTTGAAGCAACAAGCCACCGTTTTGTTTGAAGAACTTCTCTCGCCGTTTAACATTGTTTCTTTTCTTCACTACCTGGTATAACCACCATGCACCAGCAAGTAGAAGTAATAGCCCCAAGCTTGCTCCAATACCTGCATAACTCTACAAATTTAGAAAGCAGTACTTAAATGCTTTAGCGTCTCTGGAAATTTCAGGGAAAAGTACAACTTTTGCCCATTTGAATACACTGGAAATTGTTCCAGACCAACTGAAGGATAGAAGAAATACCTATAAGCACCGGTTTAACAGCAGATTTCTTCTTCTCTGGAGGACTGTGAAAGTGGCATTCACAACTCCCCTCAGTATTTTTACAGGTAAAATTAGGTCCAAGGTTTTCTTGTAAACAAGGGCTATTCTTTGAGTCCGTGCATTCATCAATATCTGATACAAATTAGAAAAGTTCAAAAAGAATGAGTATCGAAATGGTAGAACAGTGAAAAATAATGAGCAAAGATCTATTAATTGAGGCCATTGGAACTAGTGGAGATACTAGCCCTGCAATTTGAGGCCATTGTCTCAACCTGGTTTACCATGATGACTTTGGATTCATGAAGATCTCTAATTCAAAATAAAAACAAATTCAACATATAGATTGTGAGAAGTTTACCTTGACATCCTTCAGGAAGATACGGATTTCCTTCATATCCCCTTTTGCAAGAACACCGAACCACTGAGGTCTGGTTACTAAAGGAAGTGCTGTTGATAAACCTCCACTTTCACACAGAGTTGAATTGTTAAAGGAAATCGATTTGTTCATTACAAGTGAGTCATATTTCCATCTGTCTATCCACCACTCCAGCACCACAGGAAAGTTATCCATGTTTTGTATGGCTGAGGCTTTTGCTACTCTTACATTGGACTCAAACCACTGTTGGTCCACTAAGAATGCATACTTGCATCCCTCTGAGTTTTCCTTGGTTTCTATGCTCTCTATCGTTGTATTGAACGACTGAAGATCGGAAGGGATTGTTGTCTGGCAACAGTCAATGCCATTGCAAGTAGTACTACTTCCCTCTGTTGAGCCACTGAGGCAGAACGATAAGCACCCACCAATGGTTGAGCCATTCAGCAATGTCATTAGAGCTAAGTTGTTGCATCCCACACCTGTGAATCTATTATCAGCTTGGGAGAAAACAAAAGGGCTTCCTTCCATGCTCATCACATTTGCACTGCTTCTATCAGCACAAGTTGAATTTACCGGATATTTGACACGAACAGTTCCTAATTCTGTTGAAACTGCCAGAACTTCAAGTTTAGTGCTATTTAAGAAGGGCTTGGGAGGGTTAAAAGTTTCATTGCAGGAAATGGAAAACCATTCATCAACATAGCAGTTGGCTCCAATTCCAAAAGGGTATGGAATGGTAACATATCCACATTGTGACTGGCAACCAGACTTAGCTTGAGCTGGTGATTGAGCTAATGCAGTACTTATTTTCCACAATAACAAAACCACCTGAAAAAGTTGGAGCACCATTTTCATCTCTCTCTCTCTCTCTCTCTCTCTCTCTCTCTCCCTCCCTCCCTCCCTCCCTCCCTCCCTACTTGAGGGTCATGGAGCAAATCCAAATTCTCAGTGCATGCTTTATAGGAAGGAATCAGGCTAATAAAAATGTCCCTCTTTGCCCATGTGAGAATTCTGTGCTGAAATTTCCTGAATAAGTTGTCCACCAGAATGATCAAAGTCAAAAAAGAAACATTGAAAGTTTGATTAAGGTTTTGGATTCTAGCAACCATATTTGACAAAAGAGAAAATGCTAACTACCACTACGGCCAATGATGCAACCACAAGTTTTTGCATACCAATACCATGTTTCCAGCAATGTGCCATCTTTTGACTACATTACTATATTAATAGCAAATTTGTGTCTTACGGAAGTATTACTAGACTTTTCATTTCCTCTTTTGGCATCTTACTCTTCGTTTGCTTTTCTTTGAACTTTCATGGAAAAGGTTTACATTAGCAGATTAATTAGTTGATACAGTTGCAGGTTAATTCAAGACTCTTACCGCGGACCGGTCATCTTTGGAGCCTGCTTCCTCTGTAACTTTGAAAATTATTTTCCAAGTGTCCTTTGACAGTTCCATGTTTACAATTAGGATCATCAATTATGCACTTTAATTAGACATCAAATAAAGTTAACAGTCAAAAGTAAAAGATAAAATATGTTGAAGGGCCAAGCAGCAACCTTCTTTTAATGAACACATATTTATTCAACAAAAAGCTGGTGGAAATTAAACAGCAAAAAACACAGAGAATTCGACAAACAAAACAGCAGTTTAGAGTTTAGACAAACCTCAAACTGGCAAACACAGCAAACAAATACCACAAAACAGACCAGAAAAGAAATAAAGAAACAGGGAAATCTCCAATATAGCTAGACGAATGCTAAGAACTTATGTGACCCCTGCATTAAGAATTCTTGTTCATCCTGATTCGTCTGATAATATTGATAGTACATCTGTTGATGAAGCAGCGCCACTATCCCAACCTGACCCTGTTGAATCTGTTGATGTAACAGCATCATTCCAAGGACTAATTACTACATTTGGGACATGTTCAACTGCTTTGAGATTGAGTTGCACATCAGAAGCTTTCTGAATCCCCTCCAACTCCATTGCCACTTCTTTCATCGTGGGGCGTCTTTTTCCGTTCATATCCAAGCATCTCTTTG